GTACGCACTCTGGGGGAGTTTTTAGATATTTTTATATATATATATATATATATATATATATATATATATATATATATATATATATATAAGCTACCTTTTTGTAAAACAAATATAGCTTTTACAAAAAGATAGCTTTTGTAAAAGATGGCTTTTACAAAAATTATCTTTTTGTAAAAGGTAGCTTTTATAAGCTAAGTTGTGGAAGCAGAATATGTTCTACAGTTTATCTGATAAGGGGTTACAGTTGCTCAATTGGCCTCATTGTATTTATTTAACTTCTGTGTTGCAGAATATACAGAAGTTTCACAGTGATGTCATTTGAGGAAGAAGTAAGCCTATTTCTCTCTTCCATAGCCAGGCTATGAAAATACATGCAAAACGTGGTTTGGCAATGCCTTGCTCTCAGGGACTATCTTTCTGAATCCAACCCGGTTTTATTGGTTGCATAGTGTAGAGTATGTTGTTTTAAGACTCGTGTGATCTCAAATTTCACTCCCGGCTTCCTGACTGTTAGGTTTTGAACAATGTCAGCTGAACTCCCAACATGCACAATAATATTTTGGCCATTTTAGTCACATTTTTTATTTTTATTTTTTATATATAACTTTTTTTTTTTTTTTTTAAATAAAACCTGTGGCACATGCTGCTATGGGGAGGCACAACCACATATCATCACATGAAAACCACATTTTGTTTTAACCTTGGACATCTTTCGGCCATTAAAAACATGTTTTTGATGACCACAAATAACTAAATATGAGGTACAAGCAAAAACAAAGGATATCTGTAAGCGACGAATCATTTTCACAGCCCTGTTTACAGGTGGAGAACTATTATAGTTTAAGTTGACATTCTTATAAAGACTGGACATTTGTAAGCTGGGTACAAATTGCTCCCACACTGAGGGACAAAGGCTGTGCTTTACTCATGTAGATGAATTGCAGCCTTTGTTTACTGTAACAGCTTATGTTTGTGCCTCTCAGTTGAGCAATGCAGTTGGGTCACAATTACTACCTCTTTTCTTGTGAATGTCTTGTGATAGTGGCTTAACTATTTTGTCAGGGGCAAAAAAGCAAGTAAACCAGGTGGTAATAATGGCTCTAACCTTCATCTGATTATGATAAACAGGAAGAATTTATATCTGTACTGAATTACCTTTTTTTCCCCTAATAATCTCTGTTGCTGTATATAATTCCTGCATGAAGAAAAGCAACAAAATGTAGGCAGAATTACTTCTATGAAAGCTTTCGTAAACTTCTCGATGCCGTGAAGTTGAGGACATACCTTAAATATGTAGATCAATAAGCTGTGTAATTATAGTGTTTATTTATCCTCATATTAGTGCATTTCCTCATTACAAGGAGGTTTATTCCTTTTTGTGAGCCAGTGATATTGACACTGGTAGTTCAGTTGAAAAGCGTTAATTAGAGAGGGTGGTTTGAAATGTGAGGAGAAGCCACAACGCTGAGGGAAAACAGCGCTGCACAAAGAGATGAGAGTAAAAGTGAAAAAGCTGCTTCAGTGAGCAGATGGAAGAAGAGTGGGTGAGAGAGAGAGAGAAACAAAGTCTCTGGATGCGGAAGTGGTTGTGGTGAGCAACATGGGTGTGGCCTTTTTAACAATTTTTTTTTTTTTTTTTTTTTTTCTACCCGCCTGTCAGAGGTCATTTTACAGAGGAAAGCACTGTGGATGATGAAGCTTTGGACGCATCCCTGGAACCAAACCCCTAGCAGGATGGATGCTAAGGTAAGCATAATAGTCTAAATTGAAGAGTATCTAAATGCTCAGGGCTGATTCTGGGGTGAAGCCGAGTCAAAAGAGACTGATGGGGGTTGACAGACAAATGGATGAACAGAAAAACCAGAGAGTGAGGGAGAGTGCTGGATGTGACAAACGGGCAAGGCGGGTCGGCCCAGGGGAAGCGAGAGACGCCTGAACAGCCCAGGGGATGCAGGCCTCATCCCAACATATGCTCTGGAGTGAAATGAAGATTGGCACGACCTGCTAATCTTAGCTGTCAAAGCTCATGACGTACCCGGACGCTCACCTGCCATGCTGTCGCCGTCCCAGGGGATGAGATGCCACCAGGATCGGTCAAAGATCAAAATTTCATTTTCTGAGGGGGGAGGAGATTCAAACCTGGTCTCTGACCTGGACCTCCACTTGTTAACAGTCCTGGGTTTTTTTGTTTTTTTGTTGTTGTCTTATACCTGTTTGACAGACATACGTAATGGAAAGTTTTTCTTTTTTCTTTTTTTTTTTTTAATTTCTAACCAAGGCAGTATGTTGAGGGGGAGGAAGATGTCTACTCTCAAACTCAGGGTCTCGATTATGTTAAAAATATTTTCAACACATCTTGTGATGCCAACTTTTAATTGGTGACAGCTTTAAAACTGCGATACAGTAATTCCTACGGTGCCACAAAGTGCAACACGGATACATGTGGGAGGGCTGTGCGCACAATATGTCTCCTCAGTCACTCGGTTCTGACAAACAACAAAACAAGTTTCTCACAGTTTGACTTTAGAAGTAGGGATCTGTTTTCCGTCACATTGTTTGAAGAGTGTGAGCAACGACGTTCAGGGACTGAGAGAGGAAGAGGAAGGAAGCAGAAGTGGCCATGTGGTGCTGAGCTTGAAAGCTTCCTGTCTGGTGAACATTAACTGCACGTCTTGTTCCGGTGTCGTTGCAATCATCATTTAGACAGGCTTTTTATTGGACGCTGGGCATTTTCGCATTGTGCACATTCTCTTGCCGTTGACATGGCTGGATGCTCAAAGTGACCAAACAGGTTAATTGAAAAAAGGGGTTTTTCTATTTGTATGTGAGTAAGTCCTTTGTACCGCCTCTTAAAAGAAAAATAGATCTGAGCCTACCTGTTTAAAATTACACTTATATTTCTTATTTCTTGGATTATTCCTTCCAACATTCATCTTCTTTCACCTTCTTATGCCTGCTTTATGAATCATCATCTCTGCAAAATGTCTGTCTCTTTCAGATTTACAAGGCCGTGCTGATATGTTTTCTGTTTGCCATGTCAGAAGGTGAGTGCAGAAATCCCCTGGTTATTAAATTTGCTTGTGGTAAATTAAAGGGATTGAAATGAAATAAACTGGACTCACTTACAAGCAACTGACTTTAAAACGTCAATTTCCATTTTGTTTGGCTTTGTATTGTTTTTAATAGTTTTGAAAGACTGAAATAGTCAGTTTGAAGCAGTTTGTTAAAACATTGTCATATATTTAGAGGTGTCACAATACGTCTTGCTCAGGAGATGAGGCGTTACGTTATATTGGGTTTTCCAGAACCAGACAAGGTTTTATGATTTTTCTTTCTTTTTTTTTTTTTTTGCTTTTCAGGAAAGTGAAGAAATAACTACACATTTTGTATTCTTTTAATAAATAAAGGTTTTGTGAACAATTCACCCTAAAAGCTAATTCTAAGTTTTAGATCCACAGGTTAAAACGTAATTAATTTGTGATCATAGTTTACCACCAAAGTACTCTGAACTATGTTCATTTCCTCAAACCTGGACCTGACAGGCTTACTTAAATATGTTTAATTCTACTGTACTGTTATTTTTACACATCAAATGCATTTCAGTGGCCAAACTCTGAATATTGCTCTTCTCATCCTCATACACGTTTTTATTAGTTTTCGAGACAGCAAGCCAAGTCTAAGTCTTTGATGGAGAATTTCTTATTCAGATTTTTAATTGCAGCCACTCTTAAAGGACTAAAACAGTGGAGTTACTTTTTTTTTAATTAAAATTGTGATAAAACACATCAAATGACAAAATCAGCACTGTGGTGAAGACATCTGTGCTGTTATTTGAGCTAAATTTAGCTCTACCTGCAAATCCACGGCTGATCCGAGCCCGTACCTGCAGCTACTCCAAAATAACAACAGAAAAAGGGTTAAAAAAAAAAAACACCTCAGCATATTCTGTATTTTGATGGCAAGGGCAAGGCCGTTGGATAATATTATGTTTAGTAGCAGGTACAAATGATAACTAACATGTATCCTCATACCACCCACTTGTGAAACAGTCTGAATTGCTCTTCTGCCTTGGGGGTTCGGGGGTGTGTGGTACCTCTGTCCTGCACAAGTTTGTGTACTGAGCTCCAAATTTACAGAGCACCAGCTCCTGAATAAAGTTATTTTTATTTATTCCAAGGAGAGCTGTGGTTTGTTCGTCACATAAAGAAAAACAGTGTTGTTTAGCTTAAAGTTCCCCAAAACAGTTAAATGAACTTCCTTATTTCAACATGTCCACACACACCACTTCTCACAAATCACAACCTGTGTTTTAAAGGATCTACAATCAAGGTAAAATATTTCATTCCAGGTTTTACACTTTTTTTTTTTTTTTTCCTGTTTGTCTCACTGTTAGGCGCCAATGCCAAAATGGCTGGCTCCTTTTTAACTTGATTAAAGACTCTCTCTTACTTCATCCAAAGTCGAACAGTTGGTGCGCGGCCATGTGGTTGCGGAACGTCTGCACGCCCTTTCACACACATGAAAGGTGTGTCCACAGGTGGTCTGTGGCACCTGGGGACACACCTAGACTGACTGATTGCTCAAAATGCACATGTGATAAACATTTCATTTGAAGAGTGCTGATATTGTCTTACATTAATCTTTACATTAGCATTAGCTTTGTTGATTAGCCCTAGCATCGGGTTGATTAAACAAGCCATCATATTCTGAGTGGCATAATTGCCATTTTTGTTGGGCTTTTTTATTCGAAATTCCTAACGTGTTACTGCAAGCTCAGACTCTGTGTGAAGGGGAATAAATAATTCAGTGAACCACATCAGTGAAGCTGGTCTTACTGGTGGCAACAGCGTCCCAAAAAAAGCAAGGACATATGAGTTTTAGGTCCTCTTGAGACCAGAATGGGAGTCAGGCCAACTTCCCTGGAGGCCTGGAGAAAATTGTTCCATAGTCTAAATGGTAATCCATCATGTTAGAAGACTGATATGTAGATAAGAAATAATTAAGCTATAAATTGGGATTGTATTTCAAAAAAGAGGATTAAATATTCAGAAGTGTGACAATGCTGTAAGTCTACATTCACGCAGTGAACAGGACTAAAACAGCTGCGACTGAAGCTGCAAGAGAAATTTACGGTAACCGATGAGACAGTGCTCTCCAGCTACTCATGATTACATACAAACTGCTCATTGAAAATGTTCAAACAATTTTTTTTTTTAAAATACTAAATTACACATTTAATCCGGCCAGTTTTTACCAGTTCACGTATTTAGTCCAAAATCAATGCACTGCCCCCCACAAAGCAGAAGTTTTGTGTAACTTAATTACTAATTGGAAGGTGCTGAGTGAGCCACACAGACAATGGGCCGCTCTGTCCCGTGGTCTCACTCAACAATCTGACTCTGTTGTAGCTGGAGGTTGCCTCACAGCCCCATTCACTGACAGGACTGCCACTGTGACATGCTCAGTGGATCTGCAGGGCTCCCTCCACTTCATATTCTGAAGCCTGGCCTCAGCCAAGAAATACGTGACAGCATTGTTAGAGAAACTCATAAACAACACTTGGGCTTTGTTCTTCCTCTGAAAGTCCACTGTTTCATCTGACTGCATTTTTTATTTATTTATTTATTTTTTCTGTTTGGTGATTAAAAATGCATTCATTTCTCTCCACAGTGTCTTGGGCCCAGAGTCAAACACCCACAGATCAAACGATGTCTCCCACCAAACTTACGACTCCCACTGGTAAGACACTTCCTTCTGGCTGTCTCTATCTACAGCACCCTGCACAGTTTTTGATACCCCTGATTTAAAACGTACTACAACGTTTCAAAAAATCATTTTCTCAAGCAGATTTGCCGACCCCAAGATGTCACTCTCTAAGCGAGTTTAGAATGGAGATGCTTTCTTGTAACCATTTTCTGACTAATGACAATAAACACATCTACTGTTTGCCCTAATTTAATGGCATTTTTTTCTCTCTTATGTTTTTAAATGTTTAGGTTATATAAAGTAAAGTATACATTTAAAAAATATCCAAAGCTTGCTTTTATTTTGTGGGTGGTGTCATTACAGTGCCTTCCAAAAAAAAAAAAAAAAAAAAAAAAAAAAAAACCCTGATATTACTTAAACTTTTCCTTATTTTGACTCATAAGAACTAGAAACTTCAATACATTTCATTGGGATTTGATTTAACAAACCAAAGAAATCCTGGTATGTAGAACAAACATCTCACCAACCATCCTTCCTTCCAGAGTTTCTCCTTAATGTTCTTTGTATAAAATTGATCATTTTACATAGATGGTGGCAGTAGTTTTAGTGCACGTGTAATGAAGGCTAGTATAATGGCTAAATTACAGGAGTTGGTCAAGTTTTACCTCATGCATGGATTAAGACATGGGTAAATGCTGATTCTGCTATGCATTTTCAGTGTGCGTACTATGTGAAGGATCCTAAATGGAATGTTTCATCACGTTAGAAATGCCTAACATGAATATGCTGTGACTCTAGCATAAAATATGACATCTGTTAAAAGTTTTTGACCCCGGTGTGTTGGAACAAAGGCAAAAGATGAAGTTGATGTGACGTGTGTATGTAAATCCTGGACCCAATTTTATGTAGCTTATAGACTCCTATAACATGATTTCCATAGGTATCACTACAACAGGTTATCCATGATGTTAGCCATTCATTCCTTACCACATGTACTCCAAATTAACCTGGTATACCTACCAGGTATACCTACTGTTGAGTCTTAGCGTCCATGTACCCTAAACGCATCACCCTCTGGTTGAAAATATAACAATCGTGTATTCTATGTATTTCTACAATATATTATCAGGTTATAACTTAATACTGTTCAAAAATGTATTTCCCTCATTGACAACAATATGCTTCCGTAGATCACTCAGTTTACTTAGTTTTTTTTTTTTTTTTTTGTAGAATTATCTACTCACTCTATTTATGTAATAAAAGTTTGTGTTTCATTTAACATCCTCAGTTGATTTTTCTCTGCATGCACCACCAGGAAACAGAACCACCACAAATGTTGAAACCGCCCCGAAAAATCTCCCAGACAAAACCACATCTGGGCACAACACCCAGAACACGTCAGTCAGCTCCACCGTATCCGAAGCAAGAACAACAGGTAGCATGGCGAGCGATGTGCCATTCAAATTGTATGCAACATTTAGGACTCCTGCCTAACCTGATGTTTTTTTTTTGTGTGTTTTTTGTTGTTGTTGTTGTTGTTCTATTTTCATTTTCCTTTTAGCTGTCACTCGGAATGCAACAGAGCTTCAAACAAAGCCCAAATCTGCTACAGGTGTCACACTTCTTCAACCTCTAGTTTGAACAGTTGGTGGAGCCATTGAGTTTGCCGACAAACAGAAAACCCTCTTTTTAACTGAGACCGCAACAAATTTATATAAGCAATTGCAATTTCCTTTGCAAATACAGTTTCTTCTTCTTTTTTTTTTTCCTGATATCACAATGCTGAACTCTGGCTGGAATAAAGAATTGCAATAACAACATACTGAAAGGGTGAAAAGCCTTCTGTATAAGTTTCATGTGAAACTCAATTCACTAATATATTGAAAGATTTAGTTGAAAGTGAAGTTAGACATGAGGACATATCTAGAGTCTTGTGTGAAATAATGATGCATCGGTGTTGCGAGCATGAGGGATCAACAAATCTTTGGAGGAAGAAAAAAATGCAATGGTTAAAATTTGGCCATTCAAGTATAAAAAGGATATTATAAATATTAGACTCTATGAATAATACATAAAAATGGGAGTTGATTTTAAAAAGTCAAATTATGTAATGCTTTTTCCATTTTTTTATTTTTTTTTTCCACCTTCCACAGTGTCACCGATGGGGAAAACAACGGCCACAAAGAAAACTGTCTGGGGTGACTAAATTTCCTTCCTGCACCACAGTTACCCATGAATGCCATGGGTATTGCAATTGTCTTAATATCCCTTGGCTTGCTGACACCATCACAATTCCCTGCCTCCTGAGCAAAACCCACTCTGTTGCCTAAAGATTCATTCTTGCTTATGCAAAATGAGATATTTGTGCCTTTACACTGCTTCAGTTTGCCAAAGATAAGATTTTTATGCAGCATCAACACCCAACGGATCTATCAGGCCAACAGTTGCTCCCCATTGATGTTGTTGTTGCTGTCAATGCGTTCTGTTCAGCAAACTGACTTCACTCAATCCTGAATAGATCTTTCTTCTCTTTCCTTTTGTGTCATATAGATCCAAAGTGGGATGAACCTTTCACCTATGGTAAGGAAGCTCTTTCCTCTATCTTTTTTTCTGAAAGTACTTAGCGTCTGCATGAGTGGGGCTTAAACGTAAATGTCACTTGTTTAGATTATCAGTCTCTGCGATACGCTGGCCTGATCATTGCCAGTGTGCTCTTCGTTATGGGAATTATGATCATTGGCTGTAAGTTTGATTTTTTTTTTCTATGTAGTAATCCCTACTGACAGTCAAGAAGCTTTCTCAATATTTTTGCTCATTTCCAACTACAGGTGGCAAGATCTGCCGGCTGCCCAAGTGTCACAAGAGGTCATCAAAGTTAGTAATTTGTACCAGCAACCTTTACTTGGAGCTAGTTAAAACTCATTTGCATCTGTAAAAGTCATGGCGCAATCACAAAAAGAGCGGCCACAAAATACTTTAAGCGTGTTCAAGGATAAGATTCTAAAATGATATACAGCTTTACAGCATTTACTTCAACATTTGTGACAAAAAGTGTTAGAACATAAAACTCATGAAATCAAATCAGAAAACCAGCATGCAGCAGCTAACTTATGTACATTATGTAACATGTCATTATTTTTGTCTTTGGCCTGTAGTTGTCAATCACTTTATCAAGTCCAGAGGACTCTAAAACACTATACTCAGTCATTCACCCATTCATTCACACGTTCACCTCCGACTGGATTGTAGTCAAGACTGTCCTGGTAAACTGTTTGTTGTTTTTAGGGAAGCACAGATTCGCTGTGCATCCAGTCATGGAAGAAATGAGTCAGTGGCTTAACCAACAGACAATAAACTGTCAATGCTGGTAGGACAATAAATATAGTGGTTCTTCTTAACGGATGGCCTTGAGCTTTTAACCAATTCAAAAGTCTATAACTATTTTGGAGAAAGCCTATATTAAGAAATGTACCCAGCCTTCCGAACAATAGCAGAAGTTGGCATGTTCAATTATTTGTAAATTTAGGATTTGTAAAAAGATGTCCAAGTTCAGAAAAAAAAAAATATTCATGGGCTTAGACCTACAAAAACAGTAAAAGAGACTAAGCAGATATATTTATCTGGTTTGTAATGCAAATATTGGACTGTGGAAGTGGTATGACGGAAAAACAGTTTTGAGGAACTACCTTTAATATCTTGGTACATCTATTACCAGCTCATATGCACTTCTCACATATAGGGATTAAATAATTAATTGGTGAAATAAATTATTAAATGCCTAATTATTTACATACTATATTTTATTTATGTCACAAGCTTACATTCTAGACAACAGTTCAGCAGAATGCAGCAGAGATCTCTGTGATGATTTATGCATCAAAAGGGCTCTGATTAAACTGTTCAGAGACCAAAGCACAGTAACGTGCCCACTGCAAATCGCATTGCTTACGTTATTCAGTAAATGTCGATGCTTGCTGTAAATGGAGCTCCAGTAGTTTTTTTGTTCACAGAGTATTTGTTTATTTTTCAGCTCATACCGTGTGGCCCAAGGATAAGAAGATGTGCAAACAATGGCGGCCATGGAAAGTTTCAAGAAATTACAAAACGACTTAGTCCATCAGCGAGAAAAACACTCGACTAACGCCTGGCAACGTGTTTGTGTGCGGACTGACGGGCTAATTGTACTGCTTGGTAACTGTGGTGGAAGTTTGAGTAAACAAATCTCGACTCATGCTGATAAATGGAAAACCTGGACTTGTGTTCATGTCTATAAAACAAACTGTCCTAGAAATTAAATTGTCCTGAACAAGCTCACTCTGATTTTAATTATGTCAAATATGAAACAAATTTTTGTAAAAAAAAAAAAAGAAAAAAGTTAATCACTAAAGGCCATGAATAAACATATTTGTACACCAAGGAATGTTCAATTTTTTTTCACATATGAGAATTAAAACTGAAGCTGGGCAGTGCAGCAAACTCTAAAAACGGGAAAAAAAAAAAAAAAGTTAAGCAAGTGTGTCTAAGCCTCTTAGAGGTTGTGTATTTGTGAGAAAAGCCCTAGAATAAACAGAATCTAATGGCAGAATAACTTTGCATCCTTATGGTGACTCAGTTACAACGGAGACACCAAGCAGGTTTTCTAGCACATTTAATGTCAAAATAGGCAAAAATCCAGAGTTCAGTAAAGCTTTGTATATGTACAGCAGTTTCCCCATTCTAATGACTGAAAGAACAAATAAAAGGTGTCTGTAGCTGTGCAAAAATGATTATGGTATTCTTGGCAGACAATACATCAATTACAAGCTCTGGAAATTAAATGCATACCCCAGTAAATGTCTTTGGCATAGAAATACATATAAAAAAGTGCACATACAAATACAAGTATTTAACATGAAGTTCAGATTTAAACTCATTGCTATGATATAACACTAATACATATTTAAGACAGGACTTACTTTCTAATCATGGGAATTTCTTACAAACGACCCTTTAAACCATTTTTTTTCTTTGAAAAAAAAATGGAGACGCATCACCCAGTAAATATATACAATTTAAATTTAACTCCTTATGACCTGCATGCTTTTATCACTTCAGAATATCCTAATTGTATAAATCAATGCTTCATTACATTATTTCAAAAATCAATTACTACTAATAATTGCATTTTGAAACCTTGTTCTTCCAGATAAACTGCGGCAGTCACAACAGGTTAAATTTAATGAACAGGACATTTTTAAAATGACAGATTTTCACTGGTAAAATAATGATAAAAAGCTTAAATGCTACACGTATTGCATTTCGTTACAATGAGTAGTGTCACAACAAAGAGGCTCTCCAAAGAGTTGACGTCAGAGAGGCATTGGGTAGCAAGTGTATAGAAACATCCTCCCATATTTTAGGGAAATAAAATGTGAAGGAAATACCCTTGTATCATATAAAACAATCAAGAAATAAAATTATGTTTAGCAACAAAATGAAATGTTCTGTACTCCAGTTTATGCATCAATGAAATGCTGACGCATTAAAGCCTAGTCAGAAATAAATGACGTGTTCAGATAGAGGCAGTTCAAACCAATCGGATAATTTGTTTTATACCAATTCATAAGCATAATTTTTTTTAAGCTGATGCCCGACACCAGATACATTTTTACCATTTTCTTTTTAATTTTTGTGTTCTTGTTAACACAATTTATTAGAAATAAATAGATTTTTTGCTTCAACATGTTTTTAAGTACTTGGGGTTTGGGGTTGTCCCACTTCATCTGAAACCATTTCTGACATAGGAAGCTTTCCTGCACATAGTGTAATTGATGTCATGTGAGTGAATCCAGCACCCTTCCATCAAGAAAAAAAAAAAATGTAATTCCCAAATCATCCTGCCTTAAGTTTTCTACCCTTCCTCTCAGCAACCTTTCTGCTCCCAGTGCAGGAATTGCACTCTGCAGATTTTTCTGAAAGCTATTTACAATCTGCATGACTTAACAACAGCTTTGCAAAAAAAAAAAAAAAAAAGGGGGGAAATAAACATTATTTATGGCGGCTGATTATTTCACAGCTGAAAGGTGTGCTCAGCTGGTGAATCCACTTATTTTTATTTTGGACCGTTGGGGGGAAAAAAAAAGATGAAGAGCGGGTTTTGCCTTCGCAGTGCCTCCCGTTGGGCCAGGAACAGAGGATGTCAGACAAGTGAATGAGAAAGTAAGTGAGCATTCAGCTGGCTTAGCGCGGATTAGCACGGTTTGTCTCAGTCAACGACCATTTCACAGGCAGGCCTGCTCCACACGCACCAAATCAAAACACAATTACAGTTTTCTCTGCTTAAGTGGTCAATCATTTTATGCTTTTGAAAAAGAAAAAAAAAAAGGGGGGGAGGTTTGGCTGAGTTAAATCATTAATTTTAACAAAAAGAAGCTGCAAGCCACATGTTCCTCTTTCAAATTGGATTCTTCAAACAGAATCCAATTAAAAAAAAAAAAAAAAAAAAGGTTTGAATGCTTTCCAAAAAATCCCTGACTAAATGGAGAACAAACAGCTGGGATCCAGAGGAAATGGTGCACAACAGCGAGCAAGAGAAAAAAAAGTCATACTGTATAGGTTAGATATGTTTATGGGGATGTGAGAGAGAGAGAGGACAGCAATAAGAAGGCTGATGTGCAAATGAGTTCAGGTGTCCTGAGTCAGAGTGGGAGATAACGGCCTGTTCTCCTCGCTTGGCTTTAAGTTGCAGGGCTGCTGCGCTGCCAGGAACTAGACGGTTCCCTTCTCGTTCTGCTCAGTGGGTACAGAGTAAATCCTGGAAAAAAAAACAGGTGGCAGACAGAATAAGGTGAGACAGAGTGAATACAGACTAATGCATCTAAATGAATTGGCAAATAATTTAAAAGCCAATGTAGTGGTGTAATGTCAGTTAAAAATAAGATGAAACTTTAGATTTCTTAAACAGATATTTCAAGTGTTTATAGGCGATCATCTCTTTCAGCTGTAAAAGGTTGAGATTAACTCTCAGTCGATTTAAATGTTACACACACACACACACAAAAGATTTTACATGCAGAAATGTTCTCCAATCATTGGGAAAGGGTGCTGACTTGACAGTTGTCCAGCAGACAGCCACTGGCTCTTTAGACAAGGAAAGTCATTTCTAAATAAATTGGCTGATCAGAGCACCGTATCCAAGCATGTAAATGGGAGAGAAAACATATGACGAAAAAAAAAAAAAAAAAAAAGGTGCACAAGAGAGTAAGAGAACCAAAGTTTTGAGAAATATAGGGAATTCAAGAGTTTGGGACAGATGCACAAAGTATGGCTGATTTCAGCACTTAGAGAACATCGCTTCTTTTTTGTTTTATCTTGACTGATTTTGAAAAGAATGTGTGACAAAAAAAAAAAAAGTCTGCTTGAGGGAACAGACACAAACATATCGATTGGGCTGAACTGTGTAGACAAGCATTACAAATTAATTATAAATAATAATAATAATATGTGGAAATTTCATTTGGAAATATCAAATTGTTGAATGAATTCTCATTGCCTTTTTGTTCAATATGAGAATGATTATTTCAGTAAGACTCTTCATTTCACTTAAAATTAGTCCAAAATATCCAGATGACCTGCTATTTTCAGTCACTGTGACTGCAGTAAGTTAGATAATGGTGTGTTTTATGCCTGGTGCTGTTGTGCACTTATGTTCGTGGTGATTCAGTTACAAAAAAGTTTTATTGGTTGATTCACATCCTGTCTCTTCATCCGTTTGCAGCTGGGTTGTGACTTGTTTATCCAGTCACATTAGCCGACTGGATACAGATCCACCCAAAAAAGACGCAACCATGTTTGTCTGACTGCTATCAACGTTGGGTCAAACTCCAGTCTTCCTCTCAAACTTGGTGCCAATTCGCTCCCCTGACAACTGACCACAGCAAGTGCAGACTTTACCTGGCTGTGGCCCCAGGATTAGTCTGCTAACCAACATGACCAAAAACCTGTAGAGGATCTGTGGTATGTAATCCAGAGGATGGTAAGAGATGAAAAACCCATCAACACATGTGCTGAATTCTGCCGTTAAACACCGGAGAGCCACAGACAGATCAAGTCCTGATCAGTTAGTCAAACACAAGAGTGACTTTACCGTCTAGAATCTGGAAATATATTTTTAATCAGGCAGTTGTTTCTTTATTAAAATCATTTTAATTGTTTTTATGTACAATTTATGTATGAAGAAGCTAAATTTGACACTTTTGTTAGACTGCAAGATTCAGAAAAATCAATGTAATGAATCCATAAAAATATCCCTTTTTAAAAAAAAAAAGCTCAACTTTTCAATGATGTCCTAATTCACTGTGATGCCATGTTAGGTTCTTTTTCAGTGACAACATTAACAACAGAAGGAACATCCATAAACGGCAGAAGAGCAAGAAAAAAATAAAATAAAATAAATAAATCGCATGGCTCCCTCATTAAGCTGAGTTCCAACAGGTGCACGGTTGCTGCGTTGCCTCAAAAACACCGCTCATCCCCCAGGTGGGTCTTATAAACCTGACTGAAAACTGTTGATCCAACAAGCCATAGGTTGCTGCGTGATTAAGCCTCTTTTCAACGGCGCGATCATTCAGCGCCAAACACCGCTGGAGCTGGCTGCAGCTCCGCGAGGCAGTCACTAATCCTGCACAAGAATTTAACCCTAGCATGCACAACAAGCTTAGGTGTCATCGCTGCAACAGCTTTTCTTCTGCCACCTGATTGCGAACTCCGTAACACCCCGGACCCCCGTGACCCTCTGTCACGCAATTTATCCATCACCTCCTGAACAAAAGAAACTGATTAGTTTGCAGGGTTTCTCAAAATCCAAATTACAGTAAAGCAGAGGCCAAGTGCTAAGAGCAAAACGCTGCATAACTGGTTTAGGTTGTTTTGCTGTCAGAGTCTCAGCGATTGTTGTCAAGACGCCAAGAACATGTTTACTGGGCTGGTTAATTTTTCAAGTTCAGTTGCCTCATTGTGACTCGGTGCATGAGGTAAGCTTCGGGACAGGTTGTGTCCTGTCCCTTTGGGTCATACTTTCCCGGTGGCACTGTCAAAGTCATTGTTTGACAGATAGTTGGGGAGTGTTCACTAGTGACTGTAGAGGGCACAAAGTGCAACACTAATTGTTGGACAAGTCCAGACGGGCTAACGTAGGTGGATGTTGATGATGCTTTCAGGCGTGACTGTTCTTTGGTTTTGTAGATCGACAATTTAGACCAAGTGGAGCACAGAGTAAAAACAGAAGCAGGACTGTTACCCAACAGACTGGTTCTGTGACTCCGAGCCTGACGTAGCATGAAGTCCACCCCAAAACAAATAAATACTAAGACACAAACCTGTAAACCAATAATTTGAATAAAACAAGTAATTTGATCTTACCCTTGCATCTGTTTCAGCTTTTGTCGCTTCATCAACATTATGGCTGCAAGGAGAAAAAAAAAAAAAAAAGGTCACAACTCCATAAGAGGAAAGTTCATATTTGCT